AAGCGCCCGCTGTTTCCCGAACTGTTGATCAGGACCCCATTTTAATGGGGTCGCCAGGATTAACTTGCTCGGTTCCAGGGCCAAAGCCTGAGCCTCACTGCCTGGGGCTGAGGCAGAAATCTGAGGGCTTCAGCCCTGGGTGGCAGGGCTCAGATTATAGGCCACTCTTAGGGCTGAAGCTCTTCGACTTTGTCCCCCTGCCTAGGATGGAGGGGTTCAGATGTGCTCAGACTACAGTATCCTCTGGGTCATGTAGTAATTTTGGTTGTTAGAAAGGGGTTGTGGTGCAATTAAGTGTGAGAACCCCTGATTTTTAGGCTGACCTCCGAATAATAAAGAACATTGAAATAAGACAGGCCATACAACTATGGTTACCCTGGATTTTACATCAGTATAAATGTGAGTCATTCATAACTATGAATTTGACCCAGATTCATAACAATTCTGTAACAAGTCTTTCTGTAATTTAAATAATTTTTTCAGACTAATAACTTGTGATGCTGCCCAGGGTTGTGAGGCCCCTCTCTACGGTCAGCATGAAACAGTCTTGCCTGTGCCTGCTGTGAATCACCTCTTTGAAACCAACAGCTCTTGGTTTCTGCCTTCCAGACCCCTGCAGACCTTGCTCTCTTTGTACAGGAGAGACAGGCACACATCAACCTCCCACCCCCCCAATAGCTGGAGTATTCCCTGCATTGTTCAGCTCCTGAAGACTCACAGGATTACCTCGTCTGCTATTCCTACTGGAACAGTGCACAACAACTTGTGAGATTTCACTCAGGACCAGCACTTAGTTTAACACCACTGTATTTAGGTGCTTATAGTGAAAACAAGAATAACCTTCTATCAAAGAGCAGAGATTCAAGTGATAGGAGTAAGATATGGGAAATAAATAGGTTTGCCGGGTGTCTGGTATTGAGTCCGGTATTTTCACCTCCTAAAATGTCCAGTATATTCTGGTGCTTTTTCCCTGCCAGGAGGCAAAAATACTGGACACATGGCAACCCTATGACACTCAGCAACCGGGCCCAGCCCCCCGATACACCCTGCTGGGGCCCCCCCTCATCAGCCACCGGGCCCAGCCCCCCGATACACCCTGCTGGGGCCCTCCCGGACGGCCCCCTCTTACCTGGTTCTGCAGGTGGCTGGAACAGAAAAACAAAATGGCCACCGGCAAAAAAGCCTCTTCTTAAAGTGGCCATGCTGATTTGATGCCACCGGCAAAAAAGCCTCTTCTTAAAGTGGCCGTGCTGATTTGATTTGATTTTATTATTATTATTATTATTATTTATTTTTTTTGCTTAATAACTGCTGTCGGGGTCCTTTTTTTTCCTCAACAACTTTGGTCTCCCCCTTTTTTTTTCTTAACAGGAAAAACAGAATTTTTTTCCTGGTGTGGTACATTTGGGTTTTTTGTTGTTGTTGTTGTTGTTGTTTTGAGAGGGGAGGTGTTTTGATATTTTTGGTTAAACCATCTGGCAACCCTGAAATAAATGGTTACAAAACCAAAATCAAAACAAGTTTTTTAAAGACTCAACAAATCAGTTCCTCTCTTATCTAAAGAAGTTTCTCATCAGTTCTCTGCAGCATTTTCAACCAAGCCTAGTTGAGACACCTTTTTCATTAAGCACAAGTGATGTCCTTTTATTACCTCAGAGAAGGGTGCCTGAGTGTCCCCTTTGCTATGCCTCATATACTAAAGGATACTTTTTATAAGACAAAATTATCTTCCCCTGCTATTTATCTCTTCCATTTCGTTTCTTTCTGGAGTTTCTTCTTATAATTCTCCATCTATATTTAGTTCAGACAGAATTGTGGGACCCATTGTGAAAGAGATCATATTCAATTTACTTCTTCTGGCTTGTTTCACTTTTGCTGATGTCTAATGCCTTGATGCAGACTTTAAGAACATGTTTTCAGGATATATGTAACATCTTAAAGTGCATCTACACTGCACCGTTATTCCAGAATAACGGCCATTATTCTGGAAAAACAATACTACACAGCAATTGCATTATTTCAAAGGAAAATTAAAATAATAGAGGGCTTTTTCTGACGTTGGTAAACCTCATTCCACGAGGAATAACGCCTCTTCTGAAAAAAGCTTTTTTGGAAGAGATTGGGTGTGTGGACACTCCACTGCTGCTATGTAGAAATAGCTCCTCACCAGGGCCATTTTAAGTCATTTCTCCCCAGTGCCTCTTGGAGCTCTAAATCGAGATAGAGCATCTTACTTACAGGGAAGCCTCCAAATTAGTCTCCCCTAATGTGGATGCTCTACAGGCAGTCCCCGGGTTACGTACAAGATAGGGACTGTAGGTTTGTTCTTAAGTTGAATCTGTATGTAAGTCGGAACTGGCATCCAGATTCAGCCGCTGCTGAAACTGACCGCCAGTTCTGACTTGGAGCTCTAAATCGAGATAGAGCATCTTACTTACAGGGAAGCCTCCAAATTAGTCTCCCCTAATGTGGATGCTCTACAGGCAGTCCCCGGGTTACGTACAAGATAGGGACTGTAGGTTTGTTCTTAAGTTGAATCTGTATGTAAGTCGGAACTGGCATCCAGATTCAGCCGCTGCTGAAACTGACCGCCAGTTCTGACTTACATACAGATTCAACTTAAGAACCCCAGGCATCCCCAAGTCAGCTGCTGCTGAAACTGATCAGCGGCTGATTCCAGGAAGCCCGGGGCAGGGGCTTCCTGTAGTCAGCCACTGGTCAGTTTCAGCAGCGG